GTATGGTCCACTTCTTATTAGAATCAGGTCAAAGTGAATTCAAGTTCTTTGTAGTGAAACGAAGAGATTGATAGTCGATGCCTGAAGGCTTATACGTAGCATTTGTTCTACATTGAAAAAAAAGAAGGGGATTTGCACCACTATATATACAAGACCATTTTAGAGGGATGTTGAATTGTATAGCATAGAGGCTCTCTCGTGTGTAGGGAGAGAGCAAATCAAATCCCAAAATAAGCGGCTTGACTCGTGTCCTTGACTTAATTACATATTAATTCCAATTTTTAAATCTTAGAATTAATTTTTAGGTTAATGGTTGTCATCACAGACTAATTTAAATATCAGTATAAATGTCATGTTTAATGCTATTGAATTCAATCTCTCCTATATAAATTTGGGTTGAACATGTGGAATTTTTAAGAACTTAAAGCCTACACTTCACTCTAAAAAAAAACCTTTACTCATCTTCTTCCTCTTCTTTCTGTGTTCAAAATTGTGTTCTTGTTCGCCGAGTTCTTTTGTTTGAGTGTTTAAACATAGAATCGTAGCTTGTTTTATTTTGAGAAAGCTAGGCTACAACGCTTCTAACGCATTTGAGAGATAGCAAATAAGGTTTTAAGGATAATGTGGGTATCACATGACTCAAGCTAACCTAACCCTTTCTCCTTTTGTTTTTTTTTGCGCTTAGCTTGTTATTTTTGTATAAATAATCTTTTTCAAAATATTTCTATCTACATTTATATAAATATAAAATTCAATAATTTCAAATACTAACAATATTAGTTATAATTACTATAAACATAAAAAGTTAATGACATTCATTTTCATTATTTAAAAAATGTTACAATCACGTTTATATATAATATAATCGAATTTTTTACTATTGACATAATTTTTCAAAGGAATAAGGTCCAAATTGGCCGCTGAACGTAACTTGAAAGTGCAATTAGGCCACTGGACGAAAAAAAAAATGCAATTAGATCACTGAACACTCCAAATGTATGTAAACCTAGGGTGGTTGAGTGGAGGGACTCATCCATCATTAACCAAAAGTCAAGGGTTTGATCCTTGGCTTTGGGAATGGAGCACCCTTAAATTTTCAGGCTAGCTGTCCCACCCAAAAGACAATCGTTATACCGTGCACCAGGGCCACATTGCGGCGCACATAGCAATAAGCAATGTGCGCCCCGCGCCTCCCAAAACGATGTGTTTTCAGGTATAAAATTCTGTACATTCGAAACTAGAGATTTTTTTCTTTTTAAAAAAATTATGCGTTTTCAGGTATAAAATTATGTGTTTTCAGATATAAAATTATGTGTTTTCTATTATATAATTATGTACATTCGAAACATGAGATTTTTAGTTATAAAAATTATGTGTTTTCAGGTATAAAATTATGTGTTTTCAGGTATAAAATTCTGTGTTTTCTATTATACAATTATGTACATTCAAAACATGAATTTTTTTTTTTAATAGCAAACACGCGAAAAGGTCAAGACGACGTCGTTTTGGGCCATGGCGCATAATGCACTGTGCGCCCTGGTGCACGGTATAATTTACCCCCAAAAGAAGTGTTAAAAAAAAAAAAAAAAAAAAAAAAAAAAAAAAAAAAAAAAAAAAAACAGGTTACCATCCATAAAAACGCTGGGGTGAAATGGATAATTTTTAATAATTAATTTTAAAAATAAAAAAAAAAACAAAAAAAAACGATGGGGTGAAATTGATAATTTTTAATAAATAACTTTAAAAATAAAAAATAAAAAATGAAAAATGCTCGAGTGAAATTTGATAATTTTTAACAATTAACTTTTAAAATAAAAATAAAAAATGTTCGGTGAAACGGATAATTTTTAATAACTAACTTTATTATATTTTATTTTTAAAATTTATTATTAAAAATTATTTAAAAGTGCCAACTCACCGTCCTTGTAAGTAGGTAACCTGGTATCAAGCGAAATTACATACATTTAGAGTGTTCATTGGCCTAATTGCACTCTTTTTTCGTTCAGTAGCCTAATTACACTTTCAAGTTATGTTCGGTCAATTTGAACATTATTCATTTTTCAAAAATTATAATATTTTTATCCAAATAAAAACATTGAGATGTGAACATCTTTGAAAAATTCAAAGTTGAAACTCCAACCCTCTTATTACAAATTTCTTCTGAAATCAACACATAATCCAACTTTCATTATGTCAACTTCCCTTTCCTCATTGTGTTTCTCCACTCCCTTGTATGTAATGCCGGCCGTTTAGTCATGTGCCAATGACATGCAAATGAACCTAAGACTATATGCAAGTTTCATGTAGACAAAGTAGCCTTAATAATCCAAAAAAGTGACATGTGCCGGGTATTATATGCCTGTAAAATACTTCAAAAATTAGAAGGATACAATAAATATCAACAAATTTAAAAATGAATTAAATAAACACAGCTAAAATATTTACGAATTTCAATATTTAGTTCAATAGTTCCTAAAGGTGAAGCAAACAATGGGTATTGGCAATGCCTTTTGTACTTGCCATACTCTAATTGACCAAACTATATGATAAGACCCATAAAGGAGTTGTATACTCCACAAATAGGGCTCTCATAATAATTCATATGGTAATTTTTCTCTTTTTCTTTTTTGAAAGGAAAAAAAATGGTAATTTTTCTCTTTTTTTTTTTATTTTTTATTTTTTTGAAATACTCATAATTCTTTACAAGGTAGTATCTGTTCTATGTTTTCTCAAACAATTTCAGTCCAAAGAATCTAAGCCCCTATCACCGGGTTCTCATTTTTATTTAAAGCTAGCACAAACTTAGAAAATCTACAATTGAGCTTTATATCAATACAAAGGAAGAGACATTTTTTTGGCATATTATTATTCAATATCTCTCACATGAGTTTTCATTACCCATTAATGTCAATATTGGGTTTTTTCACTACAATAACTTTATAATTTTCTTTTGAGCTGTATTAGGTATTTAGGTAGTGGATGAGTGAGATTTCTGTGAATCGACATGTGAAATGACAATTGATTACTAGGTTGGACTGATTACATTTTTACACAGCGAGACATACACGTGAAGAGAGAAATCTTCTATCGATGCTCCAACTGATATTCTCCTTTATCTAACAAATGTCACAAAGATTTCCGCATTCGGTAGCACTCTATGTGTTGGCAATGAAAATCTGAAACCTCTTTAATACTTCATATTTTAAAATTTAACAAACTTGTATTGAACTTTATATCAATTCAAAGAGTCTTTTTTAGCATATTATTATTATTATTATTATTATTATTATTATTATTATTATTATTATTATTGTTGTTGTTGTTGTTGTTGTTGTTGTTGTTGTTGTTGTTATTGTTGTTGTATATCTCTTTTTTGAATCCATTATTGTATATCTCTTATTATCACTATTGGTGCTTAATCTAGCATATGAGCATCCATTGCCCATCAATGTCAATATATATTTTTATCACTAAAAATAACTTTAAAGTTTTCCCTTTGAGTTTTATTATCATGTGGTGGATCAATAAGATTAAGGGTCAAATAGGCCATCGAGCTGCACCTAATAATGCAATTAGGCCATCGAACTTTAAAAAGCAACAATTAGCTCCCTGAACTAACTAATTCTATTCAATTAGTCCAATTTGTAGGTTTTGGAGGTTGTTAGCAGGTCACCCCTAATTTATAATATTTTAAAAAAATTATTATTTAAAATTAAAATTAAAAAAAAAAAAAAAAAAAAGATACCGTCTCTGCAGGAGACGAAGAATATCTTCGTCTCCATTATTCTTCGTCTCCGGCTATGGATCTCCAGCCAGAGACGAAGAAGGTTTCTCCGTCTCCATGGCCGGAGACGAAGAAACCTTCTTCGTCTCCGGTGTGTCAATCTGTTTTTTTTTTTTTAATTATTAATATTAAATAATTATTTTAAATAATAATTAAAAAAAATTTTGAAAAGGGGTAACCTGCTAACAACTTGGAAACCTACAAATTAGACTAATTGAATAGAATTCGTTAGTTCAGGGACCCAATTGTAGCTTTTTGAAGTTCGGTGGCCTAATTGCATTATTGAGTGCAGTTCGATGGTCTATTTGACCCTTATTCCTAAGATTTATATAAATCGACATGTGAAATGACAACTGATTGTTAGGTTGGACAGATTATATTTTTACATAGCTAACCATACACGTGAATCAAGAAATGTTATATCGATGTTCCAACTGATATTCTCCTTTATCTAACAAATGTCATAAAGTTTTCCTCCTTCAGTAACACATAATATACTGACATTGAAACCCTTTAACGTCTTGCATTTCAAAATTTAAGCAATGTAAACACAATATAAGTAGTGTTAAATCCACACCTTTAAAAAAAAAAAAAAAAAAAAGCTAATAATAATATTTCTATCTACATTAATATAAAGATATAATTCAACAATTTCGAATACTAAGAATATTAGTTACTTTATTCTCAAAAGAATATTAGTTACTACTGACTCTATTATAATGTAGTATCAGTCTATATATATAGACTTTTTCAACCTACTAACTCTATTACAATGTATTAACTGTTCATATATACTTTTTTAACCTAATAACATTCATTTTTATTATTTAAAGAAAAGTGTTAATAATCACTTTTATTTATAATAATTGATATTCTTATTAGTGAAACATAATTTCTAAAAAATTATAATATATTTTTACCCAAGTAAACATTGAGATGTGAACATCTTTGAAAAATTACTCTAACCCTCTTATTACAAATTTCTTTTGAAATCAACACACAATCCAACTTTCATTATGTCAAGTTGTCAACTCCCCCCTTTCCTCATTGTGTCTCTCCACTCCCTTGTAATTGTTATGTTATGTAATGCCGGCCGTTTAACTTTTGCTCTCTCTAAAAATCTAAAGTAGTGGGGGTCCACTCTACGGTGGCAATTTCGTGATAATTTACTAGATTGGGGGTTATTTGTTACATCTCACTGCTTATAATACAACAACTAGGCTTCCCATTGCTGGCAAGAAAGAGAATCAAAACCTGAGCGGCGGAGCGGAAAGACGACGAAGGAGAAGAAATCCGAACACAGAAGAAGAGGATTTCCGGTTTTGTTGAAGGAAATCTGAGCACAGAAATGGCGTTCTCTTCTCTCTCGTTTCTGAGTTTGATTTTGTGTGTTACTGTGATGCTAAGCCCCTACTGGGCTTCCGCGACGGCGAGCGGGGACGGCGAATTGGTGAGCTGGATGATGGCGGCGGGATCCGGCGGGAGGTGCGACGGAAGCACGGCGGAGTGCCTGGCGGAGGCGGAGGAGCTGGAGATGGAGAGCGAATCGAGCCGGCGCATATTAGCCACCACGCGGTACATCAGCTACGGTGCGCTGCAGAAGAACAACATCCCCTGCTCCCGACGCGGCGCTTCCTACTACAACTGCCGCCCCGGCGCCCAGGCCAACCCCTACACCCGCGGCTGCAGCGCCATTACTCGATGCAGGGGTTAGTTAGATGACATCATCACTCTCTCTCGTCTTCAATAACACCACCCACTCCGCAATTGCTTCTTCATCGGTACATTTTTTTTGTCTCCTTATTTTTTAAATTTTAATTCTAAAACTTGTTTAGATTGGATTGTTTGGTATACGCAATGATGAACAATGTGAAAAGAGATTGAAGATGTATACTGCATCTTACGCATCAAATTGTCTGTCAATTATAAGTAATTATGTGTATTTAATTTTTCCTCTTTTTTTTTTTTTTTTAGTACAATTTCTTTCTCCAATCTCCATCATAAATTCACACCAAGTCTCAGTGAAAATGATTCTTCATCAAATTTTATCTCAAATAACTTGACTTGTAGCCCTTTATCTTATTATTCTCATAACCAAATGACATAATGGTATTATTCATGAATTGGTGGAATGATTAATGATGAAATTACTCCAAAGTTTGATGATTTGCATACATCATATATGTTGACTTTGAGTTGAATTCAGGTCAGAATGCTGTGTTGTTTGTTTAATTTAAATATATAGTAGTGATGATCGTTATCATATATGCATTTTACTCCCTTCTCGATTTATCATTTAGTCGGAATTCACATTTATTTGGAACATTTTTAAAAAAATATTACTCCACTACATTTCATTTATTTTATAAAAGAATGGTGTCAAACGCAAATATTTGTACAAAATGAGTTGGTGAGAATATTTGTTTTTCCGGACACCAAGTTTGCATTGCAATTAACAATTACAAATAACATTTTATACTGAGAGAGATAAGATACCAATTTCAAAATTGTTAGTTGAAAAGAATCTCTCCTAACCCGCCACCAGGCCATGTGGAGAAAGAAGGCATGCCTTTACCACTTAAAAAATCTTGGTGGGGTTTGCTAGAGCATATGCAATTCTATATAGACGCAAGTTGATAAGTCACTATCGCTTTCCATTTCACAAGATTTGAAATTAATTACTCCGTATGTGGAGAAAATACAAGTAGCTCAGTGGTCTATTTCTAGGCATCTATCCATTCGTGTATGGATTCTAATAAGTCTGGGGTTATATCCAAAATGAACAGATCTCTTGTGTGTACCGATATTTGACTTTGTTTGCTAAATTATTGAATCACCGTAATTTATATCGTCCCAAATGCTCTGTCGGGGCGAGGTGTGGGGTCGTGGGGATTCATAAAATCTATATTGTAGATTCATAATTTTTAAATCGTAGATTTATAATTTAAATACAGTAAATTCATCGTTTCTATACAGTAGATTTATAATTTTTATATTACAGATTCATAATATCTGTATTGTAATTTATAATTTCTATCCAGTATAGAAATTATGAATCTAATGGATATTCATAATTACTCAAATCTTATTAAGTGACCTAACACATGAAATACTATGAAAGTATGAAGGGAGTATATACATTTTTAATTAGATCTCATTCTTCTCATCTAGGATATTCTCTACTATCAAGCAAATTGCTTTGCATGAACCAATCTTCTTACTTTTTGGTCAAGCCCATAGCGCACTCTATAGCTCCATTCTGTTAACCATTTGAGAGCAACCATTGGGGTTTTTTTTTTTTTTTTTTTTTTTTTTTACTTCTTGGTATACGGAAGTGATGGATTATATTGATTCGGGGTTCGAATCAATTAACTCGATAAATTAATGAATATGACAAGTATAGGATTAAGACAAAGGTAAATGATAAATGTAATGGCAAAAGTAACGTAATGAAGGGACAAATATTGACAAGTCACGGAGACAATATTGTATTAATCAAGTGTTATGTCATTACAAAGGACAATTTGTGTAATAACAAGACAAGATTGTGGATAATGAATGAATTATGTCTCAATAGGACACAATGTAGTGTTTTTATACTCTAAATTGGCCCTAACTACCCCGGAGAAGATGGTGGGGAGTTACAACCTCCTCAGACCGCAACAAACGCCGCAAGACTCGGACCAACGCGAAGACCTGAAACCCGGCCGAGTGTCAAGCTCGCCCAAGGTGGTTCACCTTATGGTCGACCCCATGGCCGAGTCGATCAGGTCCAGTTCTGGGTTCCCTCCGTTGCTTCAAACTTGGTTCATTCCGTGTTGTCCCGCTTCGGGTCTATTTGTAATAATTCCATTGAGAGGTGAAGAGAGAAGAAAAAAATTTGTAGGAGTGTGACATTTTGTGGGATCCGCATGAGAGGAAAAAAAAAAAACATGACGGATGTTCATTTCACGCACTAATAGCGCACAATAGGTGCATACCGTGTTTTTTTTCTCTCTTTGTGTATTTTCCTCTCTTTCTTCCCTGTCTATCTCCGACTTGGTAAGAAAAACTCTGTGATAAAAAAAAAATCTCCTTATTGATGTGTTAATCTAATTGCGTCATGTGTTAGGGAGCCATGCCCCAACATTAACAAATATCGTAAATTACATTTACATTATTGTATAAAGGCAAGACAAGAATTTGACAGGATCACATCAATATTTGATCTCAAGGGTGAGCGTGTGCAATTGGTCATTGTCAATTGTAAGTTGCAAAATCACCATCAAAGTGGAATCATTTCTATGGTTTTGAATTGATTCTATGCCACAAAAGACCATCATGATCACATGGACACCATGATTTAATGATTTCCATTATTGGGGTCTTAAAGAAGCTTGTTGGTTGTTAGTGATGGGGACCCTTTTGCACTAGTCAATATTAATAATGAACTACATAAATTATATTCAATCAGTGGAGCATGTTTCATATATATCTATGTAGACCATGATAATACACCACAAATATTATATTATCAAATGAAATTATAGTAAAATTAAAATAATACTTTAGTATTGACACAATAAACCTATTGTAATTATAAAATAAAATTGAATAGCAGAACTCATATATATATATATATATATATATATATATATATATATATATATATTCCGGTTTAGGTGGGAACGTGTGAACGCGTGAACTGAAAAAATGCACCGCAATTACTATACAAATACACGCATCTCGCCCATCCAGCTAATGCCCAATCGTGCATTTCCGTATGCTTTGCTTCACTCTTTTCACTTCAGTGCTAAGGGCATCCTCAATAGTGGGGGTTTTGGTGTGATATTTTAGGAATTTTTGTAGGTGTGATTAGAAAAGAGAAAATGAGAAGAGGTTAAAAAAAACAAAAAAAAAATGACAGTAAAAGAAAAAATAAAAAATAAATAAAAAGAACCTAAAACGCGCCCGACTGGACGCGAATGTGCAGCCCACTTTCCCCTTCTCTGCTTACTTCTTTCCTTTGTGGGACTCACACAATGGGACAAAATTCCCAACCTCATGCAAACAACTCTCTCCTCTCTCCTCTCGCCTCCACTTCACACCTTTTGCCTAAAATACTGTGAACAACCCCCCTATTGGGGTTGCTCTAATAAGGATCACATTGCTAGGATCAGTGTCTAAGTTTCAAGAATTCTTTAGGCAGATTAATGTCCTAATCTCTTATGCAGAAAAGGGTAATCTACTAATTTGTAATTCTCAAAAGCCTTAATTTCATTTTTTGTTATAGATTTATAGGTGACAGTCAATTTTTAGTCTTTTTTTTTTTATCATAATATTCACATTTGGTCCTAGTATTATTGTGACATGATTATTTTTGTCATCAGTCAATAAAATCATTGAAATATCATTAAGTGCGAAGACATTTTGATCATTTTTATACAAAGTGAGTTGGCCGCACTATATTTTTATGTTTATTTGTTTTAAAAATTGTAATTAAAGACTGAAATGCATTTGTATTTAATGACATTATAACTGTTTTGTTAATAAAGGACCAAAAATAATTATGTCAGGATAATATTAGGACCAGATAATATTAAGATCAAATGTGAATATTATGAAAAAAAATTTAAAAATAAACTGACACATATAAATCTAAAAACAAAAATGAAATTAACTCTTTTCAAAAAAATTTACGTTGACACATTAGCACTAAAGTTTTTGTTTTTTTTTTTTTTCTAATTTAATTTCTTGCATCCAGTTTCTAAAAGGGTAATTACTGATTCCTTTTTTTTGGAAACTGTAATTACTGCTTCCTAAACCACCAGACCACGCCCCAGCTTCGTCGCTCTGCTTCTCCGTCCCTGATCGCAAGTCGCCACCGCCGACCACTGGCCGTGCTAGGTGGACGGCAGTCGGCAGCTCCGTCGTCAGCTTTACGCCTCCACGAGTCCATGGTAGTCTTCTACTCTTCTCCAGTTCCTAATCCGTTGGACCTGTTACATCTGTAGATGATCTAAAACAACTAATGGAATAAATTGCCAACCATTATGGATTCTTGTCTGTTGTCTCCTTTTGGTTTCATCGTCAAAATTATTGCAAATAAAGAGCGGAATAACTAAATAAGAGATTAAGAGTTCCCTAATTCTTGTCTCAAAGATCAGTTCATTTGCCCTAATTACTTGAGAATTGTGTCCTAACTACTTGCCCTAATTTTGTTTTTGCAGATCCCAAATTTGCTGACCTGACAGAGTTGCAGATTTTGGTAATGGTTTACTCTTTGTTCTTTATTAGAAGTGTTTTACTTGTCTTTTAAATTGATTTAATTAATTAATTGATTGTGTAAAAAATATATAGATGTTAATTAATTTATTTAGTTACAATGTTTGAACTTAATCATTTAAAATGCAAATTTTACCAAAAACATAAATGTTGGTTGTAATGTCCTTACTAGTGTTGGCATTGCCGTGTTTCAAATTAACATTCTCATCGAATAGTAAACAAAAATCATACCTAGCTAGCTAGTAGCTGGTATATGTCAAGATGGTTAATATCCAAGTAGTCAAATAAAAACTCTGAAATGTTTTCTCTTTAATAGATATTTTCAAATTATCAAGATAAATAGAGTCGAAGAACAAAAAAAAAAAAAAGAAAAAAAAATAGACATTGCATGTTGAAAATTCTAAGTGAACAAAAAGTCATCTAAGAAAGAAAAGTTCTAAGTGGCAACAAGCAAGATCTAGAAAAAGCTCTATTGACTTTACACTGCCCAGTAACAAAGACCAATATTATCAAGATTGAAGAGTCTAAAAGTTAAAGAACTAAACCAACCATTGGTTGAATTAACGGAGATACTCTACTTGTAAAATGTAGAAAAGGTATGAGTAACAAGTTTGATGATACTTGTGAAAGTTAATTGTCATGTGGCTGTATCCTTGATCAAATACAATGATTTATTCTCTATTGTATTTATGTGCGGGGATATTACATAGTGAATTTTTTCTAGTGAAAAGAAAATTAAGGAGCGAAGTAGAGGAATTGCATAATCCTCAAACCACTGTAAATATTTTACTTTTACTCTGATCTTTATTTCCTATTTATTTATTTTCATGCGTTTCCATGCTATTTCACAAATCTATTTTTCAAATTAAACTTAATGTGAATGTTAATTTCTTTAACATTTGTTATGACTTTTAATCTTTTCAAATTCTAACAGATTAGGCAATAAATATTCTTTAATTGGATCATAGTGTTTTGAAACATTTAGGAGGATTCTTCGACTGATGATCTGGTAGAAAAAGTGTTTCAATGATGCTAAAGTTTTTCTGTCTCGGTATCAAATCCGCCAAGCATGAAAGGGAGGCTAGCACTCGCATCTGTCATGGGAGAGAAGATTAACATCTGGGTGCTGGAATACAAGGAGCAAAAATGGAGAAACATAAAGGTTGTTTTTCCCTTGGATTCAATCATGAATGGCAACTTTATTATTCTTTATGAAGCAATAGGCGACATGTTATGGATTTTCGTTAACGAACACCTAGTTGCTTATAACATGAGGACCAATAGAATCTCCACGCGCTGGGCAGCGCCACCTGGGCTGAAGATTCAGTTCGTGTATACACCTTCCTTGGTGCACTTAAAAGGAATGACTCCGTTTGAAAGATGCAAGAGGACTCAAAGACACTTGGCCACTTCATTACTGCCACTGTTGCTTCCTGTTTCAGTGATGGCTAGGATGATGTAAGTTTCATCAATGGCTCTCCACAACTCTTTCTCCTTTTAACTATACTTGCTAGTCTTTGCTTTAACATTTAACAGTAGGACTTCAGAACTATTGTTCTTTTCTGTGCTTGTTCTTTTTGAAAACATCGATTATGGTGTGAATATCTAACACTTTTAGTCAGGCTCAGGCAGAAAATATACCATTTTCATGATTTTAAAAGAATCTCCAAATTCTCTCTATCAGTCCGTGCCCCTTCGAAAATTCTTATTGACTATATTAAAACTTTTTTGCTATTAATCTTCTCTTTTCTTAAGCGTATAATGAACACAGTAGCTTATGTATTTGTTGGAATTGTTGTTTCTTTGACTGAATGTAATGTTGGTTCGATGTTTCACTTGCCATTATTTTGAATAGTTTGTGACTTGATGAATTATGATTTTTCTCTTTTCAAAAAAAAAAATAATAATAAATCTCCAAATTATCCCTTACAAATTCTTTCAGAGGATGCTAATGGGTTAGATACAATTACAACGTATGATATAGTATGCAAGCTCAACCTATTAGGCCCAACCCATCATCAAGGATAAGAGAGAATTACAGCAGTTATACTGGGAACCGGGTCCACCTTACAAGGTGGACTAGGTCTAAAATACACAATTTACATTTTGAACTATTTGAATTGTGAACATTTAGTATGTAAATATTCAATATGTAAATTGTAAATATTTAATAGATAAATTGTGTATTTTTGAACTTAAATCCACCTTACAAAGTGGATTCGGGTCCACAAACTAATTTGCCTGAGAACTACGACCCAAGCCTCTGGCTATACATGACCAAAGTCAATGACATGTGTGCCTAACAAGGATTAGGGGGCAAATTATTCTGCGAACTAGGGTCCACATTGCAAGGTGGATTCGTGTACAAATGTTTATAATTTATATTTTAAAAATTCACAATTTGTACACTACAAACACACAATGTTAACATATATATAATTGATTACATTGTTGTATTTACAATTTCCTTTCAAATACTATAGTCACAGAATATTAACATATTAGGATTTGATGACCCTGTATTGTATTTATGTATTTTGACTTGGAAACACAATTTATATTCTAGAAGTTCACAATTTCAATACTAAAAATACATAATTTATATGTCGTTTAAAATCAAGGTCCAACTTGCAAAAAATTTCAAAATTAAAAATTAAAAAAAAAATGTCCACCTTACAAAATAGACTCTGATCCATGGTATAACAACCGGGATTAGAGCTTACTCAACTACTCTCTCAAACCGAACTACTAATTATTATGGGGAGAATTTATAATTGGTAATGTTTCTTAGGGTCAACTATTTATAATTTGTGGTAATTGTAGTACAAATATCCCATTGTTTAGAGGTCAGCAATGCTACATCACGATTGCCATCATTGGGTTTGTTTATTATCCAATTTTAAGCTAAAGCTGGGCACAAGAGCATATATACACGTATAACTGTATAAGTGAAGATACAAAATATTTCTTTGCTTCTTAGCTCGGTAATTCCTTAAAGTTTGTTATAATAATAATAATAATATTATTATTATTATTAGTAATATTAAACCAAGTAGTTAGTTAATTGGTTAAAAATAATGGGAGTAATTATAAGTGCAGTACATGGCCATGATGTTAGCTTTACATGGAGCATTAATTCCTTAATTTTAGCATCTGAGTTATCTTATCTAGTATAAATAGCTTTGTTATTCAAGTATTTTACATCATCAATCAAATTATTCATTCCTCTCTCTCTCTCTTCTCAATATATATAAATATAATATATAGATATATTATATTTAATATATATTATAGATATATTAGATTATATTTAATATATATTATATTAAATATATTATATTTAATATATCTTACATTTGGTATCAGAGTCAGTCAACCTTTCAACCCCGAGATATTTTCCGTAGTGAAATATGGCTGCAAATTTCAATATTGTATGGTCGGGTCCCAAATTGGACGGGAAACTCGATTACAATTATTGGCAAATTATGATGTCCGCGCATTTGAAAGCTCAAAATCTTTGGAGCTTTGTTGATCCCGGTCTACCCGAAGGAGCTGATGCAGCCCAAATACGGCGAGATCAATTGGCCTTGGGTCAGATTCACCAAGGTGTTCATTATTTCATTTTTGGGCAATTAGCTCGTGCTCAAACAGCAAAACAAGCTTGGGACATCTTAAAGGTGTCAAACAAAGGTGTCGAGCGGGCACAGAAGTCTAAGTTACAGTCGTTGAGAATGTTGTATGACAATTGTGATATGACCTCTACAGAAACAGTAGACGCGTATTTCACTCGTCTTATTGATATGGTAAATAAGATGAGGTTATATGGAGATACGATTGAAAATGGTGCAGTGGTTGAAAAAGTTCTTCGAACTATGCCGATGAAGTATGACCATGTGGTGGCTTCGATCACAGAGACACAAAACTGAGCTCTTATCAATTGCAGAGCTGAAAGGTATGGTAGAAAGTCATATTGACAGAATTGCGTCAAAATCGGAACCACTAGCAGAAGAAGCTTTGAAAAGTCAAGTCACCCTTAATGTGACTGGCACTAATCAAAGAGGTGGAGGATCTGGTAGAGGTCGTGGAAGAGGAAGAGGAGGTTCTAGTGGAAGAGGTCGTGGTAACTTCAACCAATGAGGATGACGTGGTAACTCCAACCAAGGAAGAGGTGGAGGTAATACCAAACAAGGTAAATTTCCATTTCATTGCTACAATTGTGGCAAGTATGGGCACAAGATTGCAGATTGTTGGTATAATGAGGACAACAATCGTGGAAATCAAGCAAACATTGCTGAAAACACTACTGAAAAGTCTGGTGAGAGTTCTGAAACTTTACTTTTAGCCAGCAATAGTTTTTCTACAGATAAGAACATATGGTTCTTGGATACTGGGTGTAGTAACCATATGTGTGGGAAGAAAGAATTGTTTTCTGATCTGGATGAATCAGTCCGGTCTGAAGTGACATTTGGCAATAAGTCAAAAGTGCCAATTTTGGGAAAAGGTAAAATCTCTATTCAGTTGAAGGATGGTACTCACAATTTTATATCCGGTGTGTTCTATGTTCCTGAACTACATCAAAATTTGTTGAGTATGGGTCAGTTGTCAGAAAAAGGATATAAGATAGATATTGCTCAGAGGTGTTGTACCATTGCAGATGCTAAGGGAGTTTTGATTGCAAAGGTAAATATGTCCCAAAATTGACTATTTCCTTTGAAAATTAAGCATACTCTCCTTGCTTGCTTTAATTCTGAAGTTTGTGATGAAAATTGGTTATGGCATATGCGATTTGGGCATTTCCATTTCTCTGGATTACACTATCTTGCGAGAAAGGAACTTGTGTCTGATTTACCTGTTGTGAATGTCCCTAATCGTATCTGTGAGATTTGTGTGATTGGGAAGAAGCATAGAGATCCCTTTCCCGTGGGCAAGTCAAGAAGAGCCACAAAATAGTTAGAGATTATTCATTCAGACCTGTGTTCGTTGGAGGTTCCCTCACATGGAGGTTGTAAGTACTTTATTACTTTCATTGATGATTTCAGTAGGAAAACATGGGTTTACTTTCTGAAGCAAAAGTCTTAAGCATGTGATATTTTCAAACAATTTAAGGCTTTTGTTGAAAAGCAAAGTGGTTTTGAGATTAAAATCTTGAGAACTGATAGAGGTACAGAATATATTGTTTGTGATAATTTTCTGAAAGAAAAGGGTATTCAGCACCAAATGACATCTAGATACACTCCACAACAAAACGGAGTGACTTAGAGGAAGAAAAGGTCTATCATGGATATGGTAAGGTGCATGTTGAAATCCAAGAATCTGCCTAAGCCTTTTTGGACAGAAGCTGTTGCTTGTGCTGTCTATGTGTTTAATAGGTGTCCAACTAAAAGTGTCCGTGATAAGACACCCGAAGAAGCTTGGAGTGGGAGAAAATCCTCTATCAAATATCTCAAGGTTTTTGGATGTTTGGCATATGCACATGTGCCAGATCCGTTGAGAAAGAAGTTGGATGATAAAGGTGAGAAGTGCATACTCATTGGTTATAGTGACGCTTCAAAGGCTTATAAACTATACAATCCTGAAACTAAGAAGGTTGTTATAAGTCATGATGTCACTTTTGATGAATATGGTGCCTGTGATTGGTTAGGTAAAGATGAAAGTTCAGTTGTTATTCCTGCTGTTGAAAATATTGTTGAAGAGCAACCGATTCCAGATAATGTCCAGTCTCCTTCACAGCCAGAGTCGTCAGTTCGGCGATCTCAGCGCGAGCGCCACTTACCAGCTCGCTTGCAAGATTATGTTTTGGGTCATGATAATGACCTGTCTGATGAAGAGATTGTTCAATTTGCTCTCTTTGCAGATTGTGATCCTTTAACTTTTGAGGAGGCTGCTACAGAAACTCATTGGCTTAAGGCGATGGATGAGGAGATACGTGCCATTGAAAAGAATGGTACCTGGGAGTTAACAGATTTACCTCCTAGAAAGAAGCCAATTGGAGTGAAGTGGGTTTACAGAACGAAGTACAAGTCAAATAGATAAATTGACCGTTTTAAGGCACGGTTAGTAGCAAAGGGTTACAAGCAGAAACCAGGTATTGATTATTTTGAGGTTTTTGCTCCTGTAAGTAGACTTGATACAGTTCGAATGGTTATTTCTCTTGATGCTCAAAATGATTGGAAATTGCATCAAATGGATGTCAAGTCTGATTTTCTGAATGATTTTCTTGAATAAGAAATATATGTTGAGCAACCTACAGGATTTCTGAAGAAATGGGAGGAACATAACGTGTACAAATTGAGAAAATCCTTATATGGCTTAAAGCAAGCGCCTAGGGTGTGGTATGGTTGCATTGAATCATATTTTGTTGAAAGTGGTTTTATGAGATGTCCTCATGAGCACACTTTGTATGTCAAATGCACGGATTCTGGTGATATTGTGATAATTTGTCTGTATGTTGATGATCTGGTTTTTACTGGAAACAACTTGAAGCTAATCTCAGAATTCAAGGAGGCACTCATTAAGAAGTTTGAAATGACTGTTATGGGCCTTATGGCTTACTTTCTTGGCCTTGAGGTTGTTCAGATGGATGGTGGAATCTTTATTTCACAGAAGAAGTATGCTGCTGATATTTTGAAAAAGTTCAAAATGGAAAATTCCAAACCAGTTTCAACGCCGTTAGCTGAAAAGTTAAAGGTGTCCAAAAATGAGTGTGGTAAGAATGTGAATGTTACAGCTTATAAAAGCTTAATTGGGAGTTTGAGGTATCTGGTGGCAACAAGGCCGGATATTTCTTTTGGAGTTGGAATACTTAGCAGATTCATGGAAGAACCAAAATAATCACATTGGGCTGCAGCAAAGCGAATTCTGAGATATGTCAAAGGTACGAGTAATGATGAAATTTTTTACTCTGATCTACAAATGAAGCTGTGAAACTTGTTGGGTACACAGACAGTGATTGGGCTGGAGATATTGAGACCAGAAAAAGCACACCAGGATATGCCTTCTATCTTGGTTCAGCTATATTTTCTTGGTCGTCAAAGAAGCAACAGATTGTAGCACTTTCAACCGCAGAAGCAGAATATATTGCTGCAGCAAATTGTGCTACTCAAGCAGTTTGGCTTAGGAGAATTCTGGAGTTTTTACAACACGAGCAAGAAGCACCTACAACTATTTTTTGTGACAACAAGTCAGCAATTTCGTTGTCCAAGAATCTCGTCTTTCATGGTCGCAGCAAACATATTGATATCAAGTATCACAAAATCAGAGTTGGTTGCTGAAAAGCAAATCAACATTGAGTATTGTTCGAGTGAATGTCAAGTTGCAGGTATTTTTACGAAGCCGTTGAGGACAGAGACATTTCTTAAATTGAAGAAGGATATTGGGATGACCAATATATTTAACTTGGTTTAAAGGGGACAATGTTATAATAATAATAATAATATTATTATTATTAGTAGTAGTAATATTAAACCAAGTGGTTAGTTAATTGGTTAAAAATAATGGGAGTAATTATAGGTGCATTACATGGCCATGATGTTAGCTTTACATGGAGCATCAATTCCTTAATTTTAGTATTTTAGTTATCTTATCTAGTATAAATAGCTTTGTTATTCAAACATTTTACATCATCAATCAAATTACTCATTCATCTCTCTCTCTTCTCAATATATATAAATATAATATATAGATATAGGAATAAGGGTCAAATAGGTCATCGAACTGCATACGATAATTCAATTAGGTCCCCGAACCTAAAAAAAAAAAAAACCAACAATTAAGTCCCTAAACTAACCAATTTCAAACAATTCTTTCAATTTGAAGGTTTCCAACAAGTTAACAAGTCATCATTCCAAATTAATTAATTTTTAAAAAATAAATTTTAAAAATTAATTATTTAAATATATATATATATATATATATATATATATATATATATATATATATATATATATATATATATATATATATATAAGAGGACTCCGGCCGGAGACGAAGAGTTTCTTCTTCTCCATGGCTGGAGACGAAGAAACCGGTCTCCGGCCGGAGTTCAGTTTTTGTTTTTTTTTTTTTTAATTTGATTTAATTTATTTTAAAATTAATTAATTTTTAAAATTTATTTTTTAAAAAAATAATTAATTTGGGAGATGACATGTTAACCTGTTGGAAACCTTCAAATTAGAAAAATTGATTAGTTTAGGGATCTAATTGTTGGTTTTTAAGTTCAGTGGCCTAATTGTATTATCGTGTGCAGTTCGATGACCTATTTCACCCTTATTCCTATAGATATATTATATTTAATATATATTATAGATATATTATATTATATTTAATATATTATATTAAATATATTATATTTAATATGTTACATTTTCTTTTGAAATATTTTTCTACACCTAAATCACAAAACATATTTTGCACTTTGGCAACATTGCTCTAAAAAACAATTCAGCATTTGCAACTCATCCATTTAAGTATTATATTGAAAATAATATTCATCAATTTGTCTAACAACACTAAATCAATTCATAAATAAATTATAAAATATATTATCTAATAAATTAATCAACTTTAATAAATAATGTATTTACAAAATATATTCACACATGTATTGTTGGATATATTGGACTCAGACCAAGACTATGGAGCATACTAAACACGAATGAAAAGAAGATTCGTCTCGAGACAAGGGAGCCTGACAACTGACCTCAAGGTCGGACCAATGTGGGTTGACCTGAGTCGGGGAGGTTGGATCAGCAAAGCAAGGAAGTCAAGTCGCACATGGTGCGATCGACCGACGAGAAGGTCATGTTGGCAAAATTAAAGATTTTTTGAGACAGATTATCACCATCTTCCAATGATGCATAACTGAACGTGCACTTAATAATTATCAAAAATATAATATAAAGACAAAACTAAAGATCTTTTGAGACAGATTATCATATATAAATTGTTTTATTGTTAGATTAAGTATTATCAATTTAGTTTATATAGTATTTTAGATTAGTATATCGTATAACATACTTTTTTATTGTGTTTAGGGTTCTTTATTCTCATGTATGTTTATTCTTAATGATGAACACAATATGTATATTCCTAAACTGAAAACAAAAAGCTAGCTCAAAGACAATAAACTGTGTAATGAATGTACTCTTTCTTTTTTTTACAAAATAGGATTCACAAATTATTAGAATTATTATTTCGAATGTATGCAAATATTAAAAGAAAAAATTAAAAACAATTACAAAGCAAAAAGAAGAAGAAGACGTACCAGCAAACAAAAAATCAGAACTATGATCCTGCTAAATGAATCTTTATATATATCTCCTATCTGTTTGATTCTATTACTATCTTCAGCTTCAGCAATAACAACAGGACGCTGCATAGCTTCTACATTAGAGCGGAAAGAGAAAGAGAATGTCCTACAGTAAAAAGCTAAGGTGTACTAATTGTTACTCCATATATAAACAGTACTATAAAATTATGAGGATTTTTTTATTTTTATAATTATTTCGTGTTATGTAAGTATGTAACCGTCTTATGAGTTATGAGTTATGAGGATTTTTTTATTTGTATTTTGATACGGAGTGTTACTTAATGGGCAAGGAGTCCAGGGTAAACATCGTATTCCGTGGGCGGATGGGCCGTGGGGCCGACGCGTATTAAGTTCCCATTCCTCTTTCGTGCCCTTCAATTCTTATATATACTCCCTATTTGCTCTTACCTCGCTACACGCTTTCTATCTTCTTCACCGTTACATTCCTAAACCCTTCTGATTCTACTGTCCTCCGATCATGGCCGAAGCAACAAGCCCTAATTCTCAACCCCAGTCCGAGACGGTAAATTCAGTTCCTATTCCGAATTGTTGACTTCTCTCTTCTTTTCTTCTTTTTATTAATTTGTTATTGATTTTGTGGAACTTGTTGTTTTTGATTGCTTGGTTGATCGAAGGTTGAGACTCAGAGCGAGGAGCAGAGGTTGAAGTATTTGGAGTTCGTGCAAGTTGCGGCGCTCCACGCCATCCTCTGTGCTGCAAAGCTCTACAGTTACGCTAAGGAGAATTTGGGCCCTCTCAAGCCCGGCGTTCAGACCGTGGAGGGAACCGTTAAGACCGTCGTTGGTCCCGTTTACGATAAGGTTCATAGTGTTCCTGCTGAAGTCCTCAAGTTTGTTGATCGCAAGGTATTTTAATTCTTTGTTTTTTTTTTTCAATTAAAATTCCTACATCTCTTGCGTTCCAAAATCAGTTAATTTGGTAATCTTTGTTATGTTGGATTATTAAATTCTTGAATTATTTGAAGTAATCTCTAATCGGTTAGCATCGGATTTGATATCGAGTTTGGAATAAGGTTCTTTTTGTGACGCCTGAGTTCTCAATCTTTGAATATTACTGCCTCTCACCAAGGAGTTATTTGTTTGTTTATATTGGCCTATCTTGTTAATTAAACTTTCTTGTTCTCCACTTTTCCCTGAAACTTGAATATCAAATTGTTGGCGTGAACCTGACGCAGTTTTGAAAGGAGGATTGTTATCTTGCTATTTGGTCATGTTGTAATCCTAGACCATTAATTTTACACTTCCAATCATTCTACATGTACTGAGTTCATTTCTTCTCTTTCATGCTCAGATTACAGTTATGAAACCATTTGAAATTTTACTATTTTGGTTGCACATAGCTAAGACATTTATGGGTGGCATCATGTTGTGTATATTGTTCAATACTTTTCTGACCTTATGGTCCTCTACTTTTGGAGTAACGAGGGAAACCTGCAGCTACTATCTAAAGAGTGTGCATTGGGTAAACCTTGCTGCTTGACCCTGGTCACCAAAGGGCTTAGTTGCTCATAGCTAGCCTTCTCAAACCAAGAAGGTTGGGTTTGAACACGTAACCTTGTGATTATAAGTTTGTATCCTTAGTCATCTTGGGGTGAGGTTACCCCTATGGTCCTCTACTTAAGAGTGCCAAGATAAGGATAGTACAAGAGCCAAGTTGCATAGTGCTCATATGAGATGCCATTACCTTCTTTCTTAAGCTGCTATGGTTTACAAACTCTGCTCTACCGATGCAGATGGATGAATCTGTTCACAAAATCGAGGATCGCGTACCTCCATCTGTGAAGCAGGTATCAACCCGAGCTTTCTCAACTGCACAGATGGCTCCGGGGTACGTCCGTGATGTTGTAGCCGAAGTCAAAAGTACTGGTGTGGTGGAGACTGCTTCAATTCTGGCGAGAAGTGTATACACACAGTATCAGCCTGCTGCCAAGGGGCTGTATGACAAGTATGAGCCAGTAGCGGAGCAGTATGCTTCGTCTGCTTGGCGGTCTCTGAATCAGCTCCCCCTTGTTCCCAGGGTTACTCAAGCTGTTGCTCCAAAAGCTTCTTACTGGTCTGAGAGATACAACCACACTGTTCAGGCTGGTGCCGAGAAGGGGTACAAGGTTGCGTCGTATCTTCCATTGGTGCCTACTGAGAAGATTGCTAAACTGTTGAGCAATGGAAGTCCTGTGGAGACCAGCTGAAAGGAGTGATTGTTTTCTAATGATAGTTCTTTGTGTGGGTTTACTTCTGTGTGATGTATTTTAGTTTCTTATGTTGCCAATTTTTTTTAAAAGAAAAAAAAAAAAGAAGAACAAAAGCAAAATTGTTGTGTCATCATGCTTAAGATTGCCGTGTTGTCTAAACTGCGTTACGTATCCATTTATAGTTCTCTTCGTAATTCAAAGGCAGGCATATAGTCGTCATGAGAAGGACAAAAAATTACTCGCTTTCTAGACACTGGAAATTGGTTTGACTAATTCCAAGCCAGGCATATAGTCGTCATGAGAAGGAAAAAACATGCATGCCTTCTAGACACCGTTGACTAATTCAAAGAGTTCCATTTCAAAATAGGTACTGATAAAATTTTCAAGGAGTTTCATCTCAAACTAGATATAAGTATTTGTATAAACTTGTAGATTGTTGAGATGCATCATGTAATAATTCATACCCTAGGAAACAATCTTTTTGAAGAGGAAAATACTTATTTAGATCATCTCCAACCGGTGCGGCAAAATACTAATTTGGAGGAAAAAATGGCATGATTGCTCTCCAACCAACGCGACATCTCACCAAAAAAAAAAAATAATAAAAAATGGCGTTGCACTTGTTGCAATCCAACTAAAGCTCCATCTCACCAAAAAAAAAAAAAAAAAAAAAAAAAAGGTCCTGCACTAAAATCCTACAATATTTTTAGTGCAGAAACTTGTTTCGCATTTTGCCCCTATTTTGTTCTTAATCTTTCTTCTTCTTTTTTTTTTTTTAAAATAATTCTTTGTGTATCCTTTTTTATTTTTTTTATATATATTTACATATTTTGTTAAATATTTAAATATAAATGGTATATTATTAAAAATAAAATTGTATCATTTGATAGATCTCATCAAATTAAAATAAGACTAATATTGAATATAATTTAATTAAAAATTAAATTACATAAAATATATTGAAGTCTAATTTATTAAATTACATTAAATTACAACTATATGTTATATTAAAATAATAGAAGTATAAATATAAACTTAGCTACTTAGCTAGCTCAATGTCTATGAGAATAATATTGTCTCCCTTGTCACATCTTTATTAACTCTAGCTAAGTCATTGTATGGTCTCTAATCTTAAAATACCACATTGCATCTAGATAATGGTTGGCTTGGTCTGAATCTCTTTTACCTTTACTTATTCTCTTGTTTGTGTGTTTATTTCTAGCTTATTTACTTGTTCTACATACTTAGATGTTCAAAATTGTTCACATGTAATCATAATCCCACTTCGACCGAACTAGCTTCCATTTGCTTAAGATAGCGTGTGCTTAACTTTCAATTTATTTATCATCAACAAATTACTCATTGAGAATGATATCCTGTCTGAGATTTCCTCAACACACTTACATATAAACCTACATCAATTTTGACTTTGTTGTTAGCGAGTGGCAATGTGTTGTGAATAGTTACTTTTAGAGTTGACAATGCAAGGTTTGGAAGTGGATTAGCCTAAATAAGCTTAATATTTGGTTGTTGAATTAATTAGTTAATCAATGCCCAATTGTGTTCTTGTAGCCCAATTGAGTGGTGATGTGTGATAATTTGACTAAGTTATATTATATTTTAGTTTAAATAATTGTAATTAAATTCAAACTTACAATAGAATCATAAACATGGACACAATTGTGGCACGATTCATTTGGGATAATTCTTGACATTTATCCTAAATATTAATTATTTATTTTTGAATACATTTCAAAGAGTTTGAGATAATAGTGGGAGTTTCACATTCTCACCACAATAAATAGAGACAATCATTTTCATTCCAAAGAACACATTGAAGCTATGTAGAAGTTCTCTTGACATTTTTTATTGAAGATCAAGCCGTTTGAGCACGAAGGACGAAGTCCCTTGAACAAGCTATGAACATGCACTTCTTTGAGGACCAAGTTACTTGAATTCTAGAGGCCCTTCAATGGAATGCTCGAGACGTCTAATGAATAATCAGAAAATCACCCATAGATTTTATCCGCACTTTCTTGATACTCATTATATATATAAATTCAAATTTTGAGTTCACGGATTTTGGCACGCTTAGTGGAACTACTTTGCCTCTCATCTCTTCACTGTGAACTTACTTTTACACATAGCTTTACGAATAGTTTGCATGACGTCAAGTAACCTAGTGTTCAAGAAATCCCTGTGCATCTATAGTTGGTTTTGACGCTAGCCGAGAAACACAAGAATCGTTGACCAAGAGCCATGCAAGGAGCTTAGGGATGCAATTGTCCGAACCTCCATTAATTGTTCAAAGAATGGTCTAGAGGCTCGAAACAACCCTATTGTCTCAAGGAAGGTTACCTACGCTATGGGTCCACCCTCTTTGAAAAGAGTGACTGATAATGGGATGTCGACTTCCCAAAAAAGGAAACACTAGCAGTTAGGGTGGGCAATTCGGTTCGATTTTCCCAAATCGAACCAAACTAGTTTGGTTCGATAATATACCGAACAACTGAACGGTAATCGATTCTTATATATCGAATTGTTTGAAACCAAACCGAATACCATTTTTTTTTCTTTTAATAATAATAATAATAATTTTGTTTAAAAAAGAAGTAAATCCAAATCTCTAATTACTAAATTCCTAATCGCAGACGAACACCGCTCGTCCGCTCCGGCACTCTTAACCCATCCGCAAATCTACAATTGAACAAGCCTCACATGCTGTCATCGCCTAAGTTTATATGCTTGCATATGTATATGAGTATTTCCCCTGAGTTAAATTTAGGCGTTCAGCATAATTAATACATTCAATAAAATTGGAACTCAAATTTTGTTGTATGTTTGTGAAATGTGACTTTATTGTTGAGCCTAGGAATTAATGTATGAAGTCAATATGTAGAACCATTTTATGACACTCGAAGTGAAAATATTAGAATTAATGTATGTAGTCAATATGTAGGACCATTTTATGAAACTCGAAGTGAAAATATTACCTATGGGAGTGGAACATTGTTGTTCATGGTTATGGTCATGTGCTATTCATTTGGGTAATTTTTTTTTCCCTTATATTTTAGTTATTTTTTATTTTGCTGACTAATTTGGATCTGAACAAAAAAGTTTGTTAGACTATAAATAAAGTATAAAAGTACTCTATCTTGGTCCATCTGGGTTTTCCAAAGTTTTTTTTTAAAAAAAAAAATATTATAATCTCATTAAATGAGCTTGATTGAACTCAATGGATGCAAAATGGATTTTTAATCTTAAATTATTAGTATAATTAATTAATTAATTAATTGCTCTAGAACACTATGAAGTGTTGGGAGTTGAGGTTCCTAAATCGAACTGAACCAAACTAAACTAAAATGTTAAATCAAATGGTTTCATTTTTTTTAAATCGAACAAATCGAAACTGATAAAACCGAATAGATGGAATACCGAAACGCCCTCATCTACTAGCAGTGGAAGCTCGTCCCCGACATCTCTAACATCCCCCGTGTGGAAAAACCATGTCGAAATGGACACACATTTATACTATCATGTCTGCCATGACAACGAACATGACTTTGGTGGAGGAGAAACTAGCAAGCATCACCAAATCTCTCGAGGGGGTGACTATTCTCCTTCTAAACCAAGAAAGGAGGATCAATGACATAGCCGATAAGGTAAAGAGCTGGAGGAACAGTGAAACAAGCCGAGCTTCTAGGAAGCAGCCCAAGGTTAAAGGAAAAGTCGTAATGCAATCACCAACTAATACGGGGCCAACTATGGTGCTAAAAGAAGCTGTCTCTCGCCCCCTCCAACTGAGAAGAGCATACTTGTCACCGGGAGCATGATACTAGTGGATCGGTTGAAATATTACATTATGGGCGGTTCTCAAAGGAAAGTTCGATGAGGGCTAAGCCTCATACACTTATACCAAGCCTTACATGCAGAGGATTGAAGAGTTGAAGATGTCGTTTGGCTACCGACCTCCTAAGTTCCAATAATTTGACGGAAAAGGCAATCCAATGTAACTCATCGCCCACTTCGTGGAAAACGACAATGACGCTAGGACATATAGAGATCTTCTTGTCAAGCAGTTCGTCCACTCTTTGAAGGGCACTTCTTTTTATTACTACATCGACTTGGAGCCCGATTGCAATGATGGTTGGCATTACATGGATCATGAGTTCTTGAACTGCTTCTATAGTACAAGAAGGATCGTCAGATTGTGTTCGTGTAGATAGATTATTGACCGTAATTGATCGATGCTCACCCTGTTACGTTACCAATATACTAAAAATGAATATGTATCTCAATAGTTCACTTTATAATGTGAGCCATGGTCATGCATAAACCAATCGTTATACCCTACACCACGGCGCACATAGCACTGTGCAGTGCGCCGCGCGCCTCCCAAAACGGCGTCGTTTTGGGATCGTTTTGGGAGGCGCGGTAGGAAGTTGCTGGGATTATGTGTATTTGTTCACAAAGTTATGTGTATTTATTCATACAGTTATGTGTATTGGTTCATACAGTTATGTACATTTTTATACAATTATGTACATTCTTTTTATACAATTATGTACATCCGAATCAAAAAATTTGTGTGTATGATGTTAAGAGTTGATGTGTATTATGTTCAAAGTTTATGTTTATTATGTATTATGTTAGATTATGTGTATTATCTTTTAAAAAGAGTATGTATATTTTGTTATATAATTATGTACATTCATGTATACAATTATGTGTATTCTAGTATAACATTATGTACATTCTTGAACAACGGGTTTTTTTTTTAAAAGAAAAAACTACTGCCATTCACTGGGGCGGGAAATTTCAAAAAAAAAAAAAATTAAAACGACGTCGTTTTGCATCTGGGCGCATAGTGCAACGCGCGCCGTGGTGTAGGATATAAATTGCCTGCATAAACGATTGGAGTAGTGAACTAGCGATCAGAGGAGGCCCATTACATCTCTTTTGGGCTTTACAATCCGAAGCCTGCCCAAATTGAAGGCTCCTATGAATTTGTTCGGAAAACAAATATTGATTGGGTTTTCCGGGTCACAGTCACAACCAATCCGAATTCCAGACGATCCACAAATTCCATACCGTTTGATTTTTGTAGAGTTCCAGCAGAGTGCAGCAATCAGAACCACCCCAGCAAGAAAGCCCTGGAACCGTAGCGAGACCATGGCCACTGCCTTCCGGTTACCCATGGCGTCCACGCTTCCGTGCTCGTCGTCTTCCTCTGCTTCTCTCAAACGACGCAGTTTCAGAGCCATGTGCTCACTCGACAGTAGAAGCAGTGCCAGAATTCCCATGCCTCCGCTTAACCCTAGAGACCCCTTCCTGAAGAAGCTAGCTTCTGTGGCGGCTAGAAATCCCGAAGCGATCCTTAGTCGGCCCGCTAACTCGGATACCCTGCCGTATTTGGACATCTACGACAGCCCAAAACTCATGGCCTCTCCTGCTCAGGTATTCATGAAAATTGGAACTTTTTTAATTCCAGTTGCTCTCGTTTCCCCCAGCTTATACTATTACCTTCTTCAAATCTAGTCTTCGTGGTATTTGTATTTTAAAAAATTATGTGCAAAGTTTCAATTTTTACTGGAAAATAATTTGCCGTATGTGGTTGATATTGAACTGTTTTCTCTCTCAGTATCAAATTGGTGGTTCTGTTTTGCATATTTTATATGTTTCGTTATATTTCATGTATTTTTTTAATGGATTGTTTTCTTTTATTAGTGTGGTGTATAATTTATACACAGGTTTTACTTTTCATGACATTTGGAGCTTCTTGTTTTGTTTAAATTAGCTGGAGAGGTCAGCTTCCTACAATGAACACAGGCCAAGGAGACCTCCCCCAGATTTACCATCATTGTTGCTCCATGGTAGAATAGTTTACATTGGGATGCCAGTAAGTTTTCAATTATTCTCTGATTTAATTCATGTAATTTGGTGCTCATTTTGCTATTTGGCACCTGATTTTCTAGATAACTTACATCTTACTGGACAGGATATAATCCCTGTGTTCCTTTTGGGGAGTAGCAGTTCCAGTGGCAAAAAATTTGCTTTTCTTTTGATAATTCTTATTTTCTTATTGTGATTCCTGAGATTCCATTTTTCTATTGGAAACCATTTAATATGGACCATTGAATGTCAATATCTTTTCAGTTGGTACCTGCTGTCACAGAGCTTGTAATTGCAGAGTTGATGTACCTACAATATATGGACCCTAACGAGCCAATTTATCTTTACATCAACTCTACTGGAACTGCTCGTGCTGATGGAGAGACAGTGAGTTTCTGAGTTTTCCATGTCTCATATGCCAATGAAGCTTAACGCTTTACTTAATACCCTGTTCAGTTCCATTTCTACACTTCTACCATGATGTTTAGGTTTATGCTGAGTTTTTCTTTTTTAGTTGTGCTACATATATCACCCTTTAAAATATATTTCTGGAATTCTCCATATGTAATACATATATTTAATAAATTGATAAATAGCAAGGTGCCTAGTTTGAGACTGAAGGAGGCATTTGATTTTAGCCATTTGTGCTGCATTGGACACATTCTTTCTCGCTTTATTTATTAATTATTATTATTATTATTATTATTATTATTATTATTATTATTATTATTATTATTATTATTATTATTTATAAGTTCAGATATACCATGCATATACTTGTATCTTTTGCTGCAGTCTTGATTAGACTGTTAGTTTTCAATAGAGAAGCTCATGCTTGTATTTCATCAATAAAGGTTGCTATGGAAACTGAAGGTTTTGCAATTTATGATGCTTTGATGCTACTGAAAAATCAGGTGAGTTTCTTCTGCATTATGCAAGTACTCTAAACTATAATATGTGATGCACTTTTAGTTTACTTTCCTATTTTATCAAACTACAGTTTTACTTATGTGATGTCATGGGTTTATTCGAGTTAGAGTTAGATTTTCTATTTTTCAAACTACCATTGAGCTTTGACAGTTTTACTTTTGTGATGGCATGGGTTTACTTGAGCTATGCTTATGTTATATGATGAGTTTGTATCAAACTATACGGTTACACCTTGTTTCAAAAAAAAAAAAAAAAAATACGGTTACACCTTGTTTCAAAAAAAAAAAAAATACGGTTACACCTTACCAATTAACACATGCTAACTTTTCCTTACACAAAGGTTTACTCAAATTCCTGACTGGTTGTTGTGCCAATCAAGTTACTGACAAAATTTTGAAGATAGTCGTCAATTGTCATTATTTAGTTTATAAACTTCTGTTTCATAATACTGCTGTTTATTGTAATTTTAAAATTATGTATCATTATCTATCAATTTAAGACATTCAACATCATGCTTTTTGATGTTTTCCTGCTTGTGATATGCAGATATACACTATTGCAATTGGGGCAGCCGTAGGTCAGGCATGCCTCTTGCTTGCTGCAGGGACTAAAGGGAAAAGGTTTATGTTGCCAAATGCAAAAGGTATATTGTTTATATGAAATTATTGCTCCATATTTTCCATTGCCAATGATTTGAGGTATTTCTATAATGAGTTGAATTTTTGTTCCAGCTTTGATTCAACAGCCTCGTGTACCGTCGTCCGGGTTGATGCAAGCCAGTGATGTTTCTATCTGGGCTAAGGAGGTTAGTGGTGAACTCCCATGTTTGCATACCCACCTGAGTTGCTTCATTTTGTATTAATGGTATTTAACTCCTTGAGGAAGTAGTTTCTGAGTTTTTTTTCTTGGAAGTCTGGTGGTCTATTTTACTTGGATCCCTGTTGGATATGGTTAAGGGGTTAAGTGCCTAACATGGGGATGCCCAATCTCTAGACTCTAGTAATGTTAGTGTATCTTGAGGGATATGCGTGATGTGCCTCCATGTTTGAGGATCCATCTCCAACACAGATATGTTAGGTTAAAATGAAGACTCTGGGCAACTTGTGTAATGGTAGAAATCTTATAAACATAAACCAAAGTGAAAAGCAAGTGAATAAAATGTCAAAATATATGCTTGTTGCATTCAAAGAACAACCATGATACAAATTAGGCAGGAAAGGAAAGTAGTCAAATAATCATTGAGTTGCAGAATTCAAGGAAGCATAGAATAAGGGATTGACTGATTATCTAAATCCTTGCTTATTTTATGGAGCGTATAATTAGGGATTGACTAAGTATGTAATCAATAATTGACGCTCCTACCTTATTTTACATATGGTAATAGATTATAAATAGGGACCATCTCTTAGAAGGGAGGGCATCGAGTAGAACTGGAACAATTAGCTCTAAGTAGTTGTGGGCAAGAATTTATTCTTGTTGGAGGGATATTCTTAGAATTTCCTTGTTTTTATTTCCTTTGGTTTACTTTATAATAGAGTTAATACCCAAAATCGTCCTCGACTATAGTGGTTTTTCTCAATTTCGTCCTAAACGACTTTGGTGACCTAATATCGTCCCAGACTTTTGTGTTTCGCTCAATTTAGTCCTCCATTTGTTATTCCGTCAAATTGGTGTTAAATTTAGGGACAATTCAATAATGTCAATATTGATCTCTCTTTACTTTCAACTTGTGAAGTGCGAAATTCCTCTTTCTTGTACGAATTACAACCAGAATTACTCCCGGACCTGCAAATCAAATTTTATATTCGCAGTTTTAGGAGTAATTCTGGGAGTAATTCGTAAAAAAAAAAAGGGATTTCGCAGTTCACATGTCTATGAGTAAAGAGATGCCAATATTAAAATTACTGAATTGACTATTTATTTAACACCAAATGGACAGAATAACAAATGAGGGACTAAATTGAGCAAAAACACAAAAGTATGGGACTAAATTGAGCGAAACATAAAAGTCTGGGACGATATTAGGTCACCAAAGTCGTTTAGGACGAAATTGAGAAAAACCACTATAGTCGAGGACGATTTTGGGTATTAACTCCTTTATAATATCATAATCTCCTAGATTTCTTGGTTCAAATTCATCCTGTCTCTTTACTCTTATCAAACCATCTTTGGAATTTTAAGTAAATGTAGTTGTGCTCTTAAGGTTATACTCTTCCCTAGGCTCTGACTAATTATACTTCTCCCAGGTTATACTACAAAGAGATACCCTTACTAAACTTTTGGCCAAGCACACAGGAAATGTAAGTATGCATTTCTGATGATTTAAGAAGTATTGATGTATTTTCAATCAATTTATAAAAACCGAGGTGACAAATATTGATGTCAATCTATATGCTTCAGACAGTAGAGATGGTGGCTAAGTCTATGAAAAGACAATATTATATGGATGCTGAAGCAGCAATAGAATTTGGCGTCATTGACAAGGTTAGTTGCTCTGCTGTGTCATGTTAAATTATCCTGTTTATAAGCTCTCTAAAAGTTAACCTTTGGGCAAGCTATTCGGAATAGTATTACTTATTCCTGCATTGCTTTCTATTAATAAACACTGTACTTAATTTTATTTTTTATTTTTTATTTTTTTTTAAAGAAGGGAATTGTATAAACTGATGTCCATTTTTGCTTCAGGTGTATTGGGGTAGTCAGGAGCAAATGACGGGAAAAGTTGCTTCACCAGAAGAGTGGGACAAGAGTGCAGGAATTAAACCCGTTGATATTGATCCTTTCTAAGTGATTCCAAGAAATTGTCCAACGGTAATTGCCTGTTTTTTTTCTAGTTCCTTTTTTGCCATTGCAAATGTGTACTTGCATGGCATCACCAATATGGATCCAAAAGATTGCTTCTTTGGTCACATCCTTTTCGTGTCTTACATGCTGCTTTTGGATGATGTGGATTCTAGCTTCCGTAGGCTTGTTGGCTGCTGAAGATGCTCGTGTTTCTGCATCGATGGGTTTAGGGTTTTTGAGAACCAGATGTGATGAGCAAGATTGTAGAATTCAAAGATTGCTTTCGATCACGACACCACGGGGGAATGCTCTTATACGAAGCTAGTATAGGATAACGAAAATAGCTCCAATCATCAACAGCCGGGAGTTGAGATTTGTGTACAATGAATTTGATTTTAGGCTTTTGAATGTGTTTTTATTAAGCTCAATCTGTTTCATCTCATTATCTCCACTCTCTTTTTAATAAAATATGTGTTTGTTAAGTCTACAACTTATTGTGCCAAATACATGTTTTTTCAGGGCTTTTTAGGAGAAGTTTAAGCAATTCCATGTGGGATTTTATTGTGGATGATTTTGTCAAACCAAATATGCATAAACTGGGAATTATTACTTAAAATTGGTGACTGAGATAGCAAAACTACTAATACTATCATCCATTTGATTATAGAGCTTGACTCATAATGAGGTGTTTGGTAGGAATGAAATTTGAATTCTGTTTTTACTAAATTTTATGGAATTGCAATTCCTAGACTTTAGGAGGTGTTTGGTTGAATGTAGTTGTAATTCTTGTCTTACTTTATTCCATTGCAAGACAAATTACAGTGTTTGGTTGGAGGGATAAATTGCAATTCAATGCTTTTGGGAAAGGAAAAAAGGGATGAAATGGCAAAAATACCTTTGGTAATTGTTATTCTTCTTATTACACAAGGACATTTTAATCTTTATACCTTTTTTTTTTTTCCTTTTCATTTCCAATAATTCTATTCCTCCTACAAAACAATGTAATTTGAATTCCTACATTATTCCTACCTTATTCTTTTCCTACCGAATTACAATTCTTTTTACTTCTTAATTCCTTCCTCCCAACCAAACACCCCGTAATTCTTAGGTCCCGAATTGTAATTCCACTGCCCACGAAATTTTGGGAGAGCACACCAAAATTGAATTCCTCAATTTCTTGATATGTGTATTTGAATTCTCTCTAATGTATTATTAGTTAAGACATGTTAATTAGAAAACATAAATAATATTTTGGTGTTATACACTTGATAATATTATTTTATGTGACAAATTTTATTATCCGTTGATCAAGAATGTTGATAAATCCTTATGGTAAACTTTGAATTTTGAAATCGGAATTGGAAGAGGTTCTAGGAAGTATTGAGGAAGATGTTCCCATAAGAAATGGTAAATGATCATCTAGTGAAGGAACTTCTTCTAGTAAAGAATCTTATTCTGAGGGAACTTTTGGTGAATGATCTTCTTCTATTAAAAGTTTTTTTTTTTTTTAAAGAATCTTCGGGTGGTAAAGATCATAAGGCATATTATTAGTTTTACAGATATTTCAATTGTTGTTGTTACAAAAAAATTTTGTAATATTCTTCATTACTCTAGTTTTTAATCGGGCAAATGGGTAAATGTCTAATCATGGATATATAATAGAACTTTCATCGAGCTAGGAGATACATATCATGAAAAAATTATTGCAAAGTTTACGAAAGAATTTTTAGAGACTAACAATCTTTCTTTTTTTTTTTTTGAATGAAAGACTAACAATCTTAAGTTACTCCCGATTAACAATCTCAAGTTACTCCCTTAGTGAATTTCTCAAAAACGCAACTTGAGAAGTTTGATATCTTGTATCTCAAAAGTTCATATTTGTCACCATTGCTACTTTTTGTTAAGGAAAATACAAAACTTTCAGAATAGTGTGTTACATGCGTCTAAAAACTATGATCAAGTTTTCCCTTGTTTTTATTGAGTACTAGGTTCCTTATATGAGAATTAGGTTCTTTAACACTTCTCACTACTATCCACAGCAAATTGAACAAAAACATTACATCATGTTTGTACACCAACAAGCTGGTTTGAAAGGTTTATTATTTAACTACAGATTCATTATTTGCACATTGGAGGATCATTATTCAATGCATAGGTCAATTAGATAATATGTACATACAAATTCATACAATTAAATAAGTATGAATGTATGATATTCTTGTACCAACAAAACAAAAACAAAAACAAAAAAAATGTATGATATTCAGTAATCCCACAGGCTGAGTACCTTTGCAGCAAGAAATTCAAGTTTAATATGTCTTCTTTCTGGCATCATCCATTCAAGCACAACGGCATCAAAAATGAAAAAAAAAAAAATGTGGAGCTGCACTAGGAAAAGAAATATCCATCAGACTCTCTATAAGCAATAAACACTACCCAATACCTCACAGATAGTGTGGGAAAAGGAGCTGTCTACCTCCGGAAAGTGTCAGCAAATGAAAAGCTGAAACTCGGGAGCTTCAATTCCCACATTTAAGTAGTTAACATCAACTACAACCTGCCCAAAATCATCTAATAGACAGCAAAAACCTTAGGAAGGCAAAGCTTTGACAATGAGGTGAATGAAAGGCTACTTTACAGAGAAGACACAAACCTTCATAAAGGGTCCTCACAAAATTTACGTACTCTGGTATGAGGTCCCGATATATGACACCATCCGGATGTGCATCCAAGACTACAAGGACTCCTATCAATTTTAGGACAAGCAAATATTATATCTGGATAAAGATTGTACACAAATAAACCAGTCAATCTGGTAAATGGGATAAATTTGCAGGCAGTAACATAAATAAGTTGCAAAAGTTTTAGGCAGGGATTCATCAATATTCAATTTGTAGCTAAGAAAATCTTCAGGTAACATAACAATGGAATGAAGATCAACAAATTCAGAACAAGATCTCTTTTTTTTTTTCATGATACAGAGATACCTGGTGCCAACCATTCCTTTGTGGATTCACTTGGTAAAGGAGCCAGCCACAATATGTTCCGTAAATTGATTGAATCATCATATGTCACATTAGACCCTGATGAAAATTGGTAATAATAACTATAGTACCCCACATATATGCACACAAATACATACAAAAATGTAGATTAAAAGTAAAAAGGGGTTCAGGATGTAAAGGAAACCCCAAAGAACTCAAACAGAGATGCAGTTATATACTTACCTATTTGACAGTAGCCCATATTGACTGGGAATACTTTCTCATCATATGCCAGGTATTCTTTAGCATGAAACCTGAATAATTTATTGCATGAGTTGATGAGCGAGCATACCAAAGAAAAAGTGGACCAACTGAAGATAAAAACAGATTTCAAGTCCAATCTATCAGCAGAGAAATCATTAAACATGCTGATTTCCTTCAGAGCAAGAAGTGTGGTTCATGATTTTTTTTCTACATAATTGAATACATTATTACATATCAGTTTAATAGTTCTTTCTTTGTCATAGCTATCAGCTATGAGTACAAATTAAAGAAAAAAAGGCTGTGTATCTGACTATCTGTATAGGTTCTGTGTTGTTACACTTATGAGGAAATATTAACAAGGATGGCAGGAAGTGTGGTGCCTATTCTAAATAATAAAGAGAAGCAAAAGCAGAGACTAGTTTGGTAGAGGGGATTAGAGTAGAAAGGTTCTGGGAAGAAGGGTATCTCAGTATCTGAGCTCAAAGGATAGTGGAAATGAAAGTATGTTAGCACTTTGTATTGACAACAATCAGAGTCAAACAATGGAAAGTGGTCTCCTTTCTTCCATTTCTTTCACCTAACACCAACAAAAGACTCCATTTGATCTCCCTAATCTTGCCATTCCAGTAAATAGATGGTGAATTAAAAAGAAGAACCATAATAAAATGAAAGAGAAGTACATTAACATTGTCTATGGCACTATAAATCCATCAGTATCATTATCAGATCTTTATTTCAAATTAAATATAATATAGAAGCAATGAGAGACCTGCAACTTACAGAATACCAAGCCTTCGAGAGTCTGTGGCAAGAAAGAGATGACCATGAAAGAGGTCATATCGATTCAATGACACATTCAGTCCTACCTCAGGGCCTCGACTGACAATCATCTCAAACAAAAATTTTAGGTATGAATTTATCTCCTAATAAAAAAAAAATGATTAAATACACATCAACATGCAGATTAAGGGAATGGTATGGCCATAAAGAATTTATAGCAGCAGTGGCAGACTTCTGACCTCATTTATGAAATGTCTCCCATAAGGAGTTCTAGTCAGCTCACACCGATTTTTCTTCGACCCTTCGACATCAGGAACCTGTTATTGTAAAAGCATTACATTTTACACATCAAAGTCTAGAAGCTGCCACTAGCTAGTGTGGACCAAAATGAGGTGTCAAATAGATTTCTATCTTTATAGTAGTAATCTCAACTGTTTCATAGTTTGATTAACATTCACAATTCATAGAACCATAAAGATATCAACATAATACTTTTCCCTTTTTTATTAAAAGGGTACATTTCCATCAGAAAGTGGCACTCCTGCAGTAACTGTAATATTGCTAGAAAATTTCACTTTTGGTCCCTTATACATGAATCACAGTTGGTCATTGATTATTACAATTTTCTAAAAAGGTGAGGACTATGTAATTTGTATCACATCTAATCCTGCCATCCAATTTCCTACCAACTATTGCCGGAAGTGCTCATTCCGGAATGAGCACTGCATTTGCTTCTTCCCGAAGGAGCATTTCCGAAAAGGAGCACTGCATTTACTTATTCTGAATGAGCACTTCCAGCAATAGTTGCCCGAAAAATTGGACAGCATAACCAAATGTGATACAAATTACATAGTTATGCATCTAATTATAAACTTTTAATAGTCGAACTGAAATTTATTCTATTGCTAATTAAAGAGAACACTTATATGAGTGGTTTTCTTCTCGTAATAACAGTGAACTCACAGGGATAACCGTAGGATCGAGTGCCCAATGAATAGACCCGGGATCACCACCTGAATCAACGGCAAGGCGTGCCAGCTCCATCACCGGCTCCGGTGGCCACCAAACAAGCTCATTCTCCTCTTGCCTGCCCTTGGAACCACTCAATTCCAAACCCAGCGCGCTCCAAGCTTGCGAGGACTCGTATCTAGGAACTAAAGGAACGAGGAATTTCAAGCAGGCACGGAGTTCCTGAGCCTCCCGAGCACTAATAGCGGAGGCCTGCTGTTTTGTTCCCAGTAGCGCCAGCAAGTCAGCCGGTGTAGCCTTGGGGACAGCCTGTTCCGGCGACGGCAATAGAGAAGAAAAACGACGGAGATTGAGCTTGCGAATTGAGAAGTTAGGAAAGAATGCGGCGTCGGAGGTGGAGCGGGAAGCTAGTGCAAAAGAGAGGGAGAAGAAGAAGGCGAATTTGATTGGCGATGATGTATTGAAGGCCATTTCGTCGCAAATTCTCCCTCTCAGTTGTCGATTGCATATCTTAGACCGGAGACTGTCGGTCCCGGAAGTGCTTAGAAGCCGGAGAGGTGATTGATCCCGTAAGGCCGACCGTCATGGTTTTCATCTCTAATCTCTTCTATGTGAGCTCCATGAAAACATAAAAATAGACAAGAAAAAAAGGGTAAAATCGCCCTCCCAGAGTACCAGGGACAGTGTATGACTGGAGGCGCCCACTAAAAACATGGGAAAAAAGTCAAAGATTATGAGATTAGATTTTGTGTACGCATTTTTTATAATTTATAGAGATAAGGGTCAAATAGACCCTCAAAGTATATTTAAAAGAGCAATTAAACCCTCCATAAAAAGTTCCAATTAAACCCTTCAACTTGTTAAAGTAGTGCAATTCACCCATTTTACCAGTCATCTTCCGGTAAATGTTGACATAAAATGCCACATGGACTACAATTTTTTTTTAAGAAAAAAAGAAAAAAAATGTAACCTACCTGCGCCGTTCAATTAAGGAATCGTATGGTAGGGCTGGCCGGCTAGGGTCGTCTCATCGCGGCAGCTATTCGGGATGGTCATCAGATTGCTGATTGGCCGCGGGTGATAGCCGGCGACTTTCCGGCGTATGGAGGCGGCGAACAAAGATAAGGATGGTGGCGTTGGTCTTTGGCTTATTCGCGACTACAAGCTTGTGTCATTCTCCTTCGTGGTCGAGTACGACGTGAAGAGCTCCGACGCCAGCGATAGAAACTCGTGACGGCTTCAGGCGTTAACGTCGGATCCTCTTTCTAAAGCTTGACTATGGTTTTGTTCACGTTTAGCTTGGGGAAGACATCGTAAGATAGCTTGACGTTCAATTCCTCGTCCAAGATGACGCACTGGGAGCTAAAGGTTTGGAACATTACGCAGTTTTCGTGGAGGTGTTCCATGGCGCGGCCGGTTTCAAGTGCTATTTTGATCCTCCTTTACCAGGCGAGGGTTTGTGGGGATTTTTGTAATCGATGAGGCAGTCGTGGGCAACTGGGCGATGTCGTTCTTGACGAAGTCGAAGACGAGGAAGCAATAGCTCCAGTCTTCCGGCGGTCGTTGGGCTCGGCTGAGTAGCTGACCAAGTGGGAAATCTTTTTGAAGTTTCTTGATTTTGTTCAGGCATTTGGGGAGGTCGTTAGGCTGGAAGCCTCCGTCGTCTGCTTCTGTCCCCGGCTCTCCGGCGTGGTTACGTTTTCTCTCTCTCTTTCTTCTTCTTCTTTTTTTTTTTAAATAAAAAAATTAGTCCATGTGGCTACTTAGTCAGCATTAACTGGAAGGTTACTGATAAAATAGGTGAATTGCACTAATTTGACAAGTTGAAGGGTTTAATTGGAGCTTTTTATAAATGGAGGGTTTAATTGCTCTTTTAGGTATACTTTGAGGGCCTATTTGACCCTTATCCTTAATTTATAATGTATATTATTTTAAAATAGGGAAAAGGGTAAATAGGCCTTTGAACTTTAGTTTAAAAGTCAATTAAGTTCTTAAACTTTTTAAAGGTGCAATTACACTCATTAATAATTCATTTAGGTGCAATGAAGCCCAAAAACAAGTTAATGACCTGCTATCACAGGTCATTAAGGTTCAGGCCACATTCCGGTGAATTTTTCAACAAAAAAAGGTGACAAGCAACTGACCTAGATTTGCCGAAAATTTCACCGGTCACTTTTTTTTTTTTTTTTTTTTTTTTTTTTGCCGGAAAATTCGACGGAAGGTGGTCTAAACCCTAATGACCTGTGATAGCAGTCATTAATTTGTTTTTGAGCTTCATTGCACTTACATGAATTGTTGAGTGGTGTAATTGCACCTTTAAAAAATTTAGGAGCCTAATTGACTTTTAAGCTAAAGTTCGAGGGCCTATTTAACCATTTTCCCTTTAAAATATAATATACATTATTCTAAAACATAATGTACATTGTTCTAATTCATAAAATATATTATTTTATTTTAAAAGTTTTATTATTCTAACATATAATGTACATTATTCTAACTTATAAAGTATATTATTTTAACACGTAATGTACATTATTCAAACACATAAAGTATATTATTCTAACTCATAATGCATATTATTTTAACTCATAAAATTCAATGACGTCATTTTGAACTGTGATTCGCACAATTAATTTGCCTTTGTTAATTGTAACACTCGCAATTTACTTTCGCAGTGGTTCTAGGAACATGATCCCACTAACTTAATCAAGATGACAATTCTTATCCCTTAATTTAAACTAAATTTGTTTATCTCATTATGATTCTTTATTGGTTTATCTCATTATGATTCTTTATTAGAAAGTCATAAGGCGAAATTAATTACACCTAAAAAGATGGTAGGTTTCGCTGTCTTAAAAAGAAAATGCCTAAGCATTCTAAATTGACATAATAATTTAATTGGGTTTAAATTATCCAAATCCTATTCACTTGATTTTGATTTGTAAATTATATCGTAAATTAAGATCCACTTCGCATGATAAATTATTGTGTGAGTTATAATTTACATAATTATATAATTAGAATGATGGACATTATGAAATTAAAATGCGATATATTATGAATTAAAATAATATATATTATGTATTAAAATGATGTACAGTATCTGTTAAAATAATGAATTTGCAATGCAATGTAATATGGAGAATTGCAATAGGGGGCATTTAACATCTCAATTCTCAAGGGGGGAGAAGCCGAAAGCTTTCATTTGATTGAGAATGGCTTCTGGCAGATGGATAGAGAGTGTAGCGGATCTGTGGAATGACAAGGCTCGATCGCTGCAGTTTCTGCTACGATACCGTCTCAGAGTCGCCGCCGATCACCGCCGTCTTCGTCCGAAGTCCTCGGACGATTACTTCGTGTCCACTATACAGAGATGAGCCCAGCGGTTTAGCGAATTCCGTCAGGAGTCTCCGCCTTCGTCTTCCAAAGTTCTACCGCAAAAGAGGTCTATTTCTACCCCTGTAATTCGTTCAATATGCGTCAACATGGTTAGAATGTCAGTATTTGCTGAACGTGTATTAGAAGCTTTGCGATTCTAGAAATTTTATGCTTTTCCTTTACACTAAACTTTATCCCATCACGCTGTTTATTGAGCTGCAAAATTGTTTCAAAGCATTTGGTCAAGCATCAGGAAAACATGAAACATTGTTTCCTAATTTGGCCACGCTTTCCTAATGAAATTAGGAATCCTCCTCCTCTGCTAGGATACAACCGCCAAAACTCCAGAATTGTGTTTCCTACTCCTAGTGTGTTTAGGAGAGTATATACTATATATATATATATTACATTGTCCTTAAAAGGTATTTAAAAGGCACGTAAGGCTCCACATTGTTTGAATTCTTGTTTCTAATTGCAAACAGTATGGTTAAACAGGGAGGAGATAGAAGAAAGAGGAGAGCTTACAACACTAAATTAAGTCATATTGTTCCATCTACTCATTCCCTCCCTCAAGAGTTAGTTGTCAATATTCTTGCAAGGGTAGCTTCTCATTCATTACGTGATCTTTTAAATGCCAAATTAAGGTACACATTACCCATACATACATGAATGGGAATTTTGTTTTCTTGAATTGCAATAATTTGATGGGTTTTTATTATTTTATCCTTTCAAAGGGATAGGATGATGTTATTGATATTGACCAAAACGCAGTAATGATTTGGTTTAAAATAGAATGAATTGCATATTGCCTTGATTTTTTTTGCATAGTTGCACAATTGCACTGGTTAAGAGCATCCCCAATAATTATACTTTTTGAGGAGTTTTTAAGGTGTGACTAGGAAAGATAAATGGGAGGGAAGGGAAAAAACAAAAACAAAAACAAAATTTTTAAAAAGTAAAGATTTTTGTGCCTCACGCGAGGCAGCTTTGTTTTTGTTTTTGTTTTTGTTTTTGTTTTTTTTTTCTTTCTTGGTGAGGCCCACAAATCTGGCAAAAACCAAGGTCCTTCAGCAAAGACCAAACTTAAACCCTCATTCTCAAGCCTCTGCCATTTAAGTTTTTACATTGTATAGTAACTTCATAAATTTTGTGTTTTATTACTTCTATAATAGCTATATCTTACATGTGCAAATATCTCTTGTTTTACAGCTGTAGGGAATGGAATGAATTGGGTGATGATAACTTGGTATATAAACATGCATCACTTGCTAAGATCCCAATCTTTCGGTGGAAACGAGAAACTGCAGAAAATAAAAGGAAAAGATCTTTGTTCTTGCAGAGGTGTGTCGATGCTGGAAATTTAGAAGCATTATATAGGAGAGGAGTGGTACACATACTATCCCTACTTTATCATCATACCTTATCCACATCAATACTTTTGTACCAAGTACAACCATTCTAGCTGCATTGAGTTTACAATACCAGTATACTGCAAACAACATATACTGCTACTTGGTTGTACTCGGTACAAAATGCACTGGATTCCATTAGCATTGTATATACATTTTCTTTACGGAGTAATAAATAGAGTAAATCAATATAAAGTAATGAACATGTTTGCAGGTCGATTATTTGCATAGAAAGGAACGAGGGTATGCACTTGAGTGCTTGAAGAAGGCAGCAAATGCAGGGCATGTAGCATCTAAGTATGCAGTTTGCATAATTTCAATATATTTGGGGGGAGAACATAAGAAAGATGGAATCAGTGTGTTGAGTAGAATGAAGGAGTCAAAGCAAAGTAGAAAGGAAGTAAGACAAGCTCGTCGAAAACTAGTAGACATCATCAATATGATTTGGCTACGTAATTTTCTGTGTGTGGAACCAAAACCTGTTTGTTGCACTAAACATCGTCTTTGTAAGAAGAACTGGTGGGGTCCCATTGACAGTGATGATGAAGACTCAGGCATAGAGTGTGAATCTTGTAAATGTGACTTAGAAATTTCTCACTTTAATAGTATTTGGCCAAAAGTATGTACTCCTTAACTTTTAGTAAGGTTCAAACTCATAATCAAGATTCTGGCCACTTAAACAAGGCTTCAAGGTTATATATATAGTTTGAATTTAGTGATGTGATATATATTTATATTCTTTTTTTTTTTTTTTGGTTATTAGTATACATATACTGGTACACAAATATTTAATCTCAGGAAGCTCAGTTGAGAGAAGATTGGTCTGGTTTGTATTTGCGGATGATATTTAAAAAATATATATATATAAGGAAACAATTTTAAAACCTGTGTACTTTATAAATGTAAAGTTCTCATGTGTGGTGTCTTTGAAAATCTGTGGCATATAATTTCTAGAGAAGTATTAGTGAATATAGATTTGTTAGTCTCATGTGGTGGTGGGTTAGACCTTAGCTTGTCCTGTTACAGTAGTGTCGTGTTACCCCTACTGATGGCAAAAATTGATGTGGACTATGGGTCCACACAACGCTATGTGAATTATAAAAAATAAAAAAAAAAAAATTATTTGTGTACTGAATGTACATTATACAAAATGTATTTTTATTACTCAAATAATGTACTTTTTATTTGTGGTCCACTCGGCTGTGTGGACCATGGTCTATGCAATAACGACTCTCTATTGAACGAACTATTTGGATTTTGCAACAAGTCGACTGAGAGGGAATGGGAACAATCACTATTTCATTGACCATGGTACACACAACTGTAAGAATTATGAATATAAAATACATTTTTAATATACTAAATGTACATTATTTTATACATATTGAAGGTACATTATTTTATATACTATTAAATAATGTACATTTAATATATAAATAATGTACATTTAATATATATTAAAAATTACCATTTATTCATATTACACAGAAAAATTTCCCAAATGGGAATCCCTTGCCATTGGCATGGATACATACTTTATGGATTAATGTCACACTCACAGCCAAAAAGCGAACGATTGTGAATGATGAGAAGAAAAGAAATATAGGAGTCGTTTACTAGCTTGGAGAAATGGAGGATTTTCCAGAAAATAGAGAAATTGCGAAGTGAAAAAAATAAAAATTGAAGAAATTGTTTATTAATTTTTTTTTTTTTTTTCAAATTCAATCTCTATCTCCATTCTTCCACTTCTAATACAAATTTAGAGAATAGATAAAAAGCTTTCTCCAAATGGAGGAATAGACACGGGTGAATAATAAACCGGATGAACAGTGTGTAAGGTCCTGGGATCGATACCGCGTGCGGCGCTTGTCTGTGTTTTGTTCTTCCCATTCTCCTTTCTTCTCTTTTTTTTTTCCCACTACGTCTTCCTCTTTTTTTCCATTTCTTTCTTCTTTCTTCTTTCTTCTTTTTTATTATTATTATTATTATTATTATTATTATTATATTCCCCTACGTCTTCCTCTTTTTTTCCGTTTCTTTATTATTATTATTATTATTATTATTATTATTATTATTATTATTATTATTTGCACAAAAAATCACATTTGTATTTTTATACATGTTATTATTGCGTATGTTATTTTGTAACCATTTATAATTTATTTAGTGTAAAATTTTTATTGGTGTATTGAAATTATTATTATTATTATTATTATTTTCTCCCTACGTCTTCCTTTTTTTTCAGTTTTATTATTATTATTATTATTATTATTATTATTATTATTATTATTATTATTATTATTATTATTATTATTTGCACAAAAAATCACATTTGTATTTTTATACATATTATTATTGCCTATGTTATTTTGTAATCATTTATAATTTATTTAGTGTAAGATTTTTATTGGTGTAAGATTTTTATTGGAGTATTATTATTATTATTATTATTATTATTATTATTATTATTATTATTCCCCCTATGTCTTCATCTGTTTTCCGTTTTCTTTTATTATTATTATTATTATTATTATTATTATTATAGAAATGAAAAACTGGAAATAAGGAATAAAAATTAGAAAACTGGAGAAATGGAGAAATGGAGATGGAAAACTTGAGAAATAGAGAAATGGAAAAGTGAAAATGGAAAAACAAAGGAATGAAGTAAATGACCCCATAGTGTTTTTGGGTGTTACAAGAACAAATATGTGTTAGGTTTGGTTGAAGTAGACCCAAAAACTCCCTAGGCCCGTGTTAGGATCAATTTTCTGCTTCTCTATTAGTCCAAATAAGTCTCCCTTTTATAGGGCGTATTACAACTTATAAGGACTTTCGTGCTAATAACAGTTGCTATACTATTCTTAATTAGAGACTATATACTAATAGTTTTTTTTTTTTTTCCTGAAATACCTTGAATTCTTTACAAGGTAATACCTATTTTATGCTTTTACAAACATTTTTAGTCCAAAAAATCTAAGGGTATGTTTGGTTGGTGGATTTTATCCATAGGAATGGGTATGAAAGTGATTGTTGTTGTTTGGTTGATAGGTTTTTAGAACACTACTATGGGTTTCGAATACCCTATCAATTGAAAAAACCATACCCAAATACAATAAGGGTTTCATTCCCTTATTCATTCTCAAGCACTACTATTAGTAACCATTCTTATTCCACCCTACTACCAAACATGTTAAATACTTTAACCAAAACCCATTACCATTACCAAGTATTTGATACCGATTCCGATTCCAATTCCTATGTGCGAACCAAACACACCCTAAATTCCTTCGAACTTAAGACCACCTATTTAATCCAACTACTACAAAGTAAAACTATTAAATTGGTGTATTTGATCCATTTTTGTAAACTGTTAAAATCCTATATCCTATATATAATAAAGCCATATGGTCTTGTGAAAATTAAATAGTAATAATCAACATTTAATTTTCACAAGACCATAATAATATTGTTAATTATAATAACAATAACAATAACAATAATAATAATAATTGCAATAATAATGATGATAATAATTTCCATTGACAATTTCTAATATATATATATATATATATATATATATATTTATTTATTTATTTATTTATTTATTTATTTATTTATTTATTTACATTTCAATTGCTACTGTCAAATTATTGTGTGAACGATGGTCCACATAATTGTATGGATCATGAATATCAAATACATTTTTAATATATTAAAAATACATTATTTTTATATTGAAAGTACCTTACATACATATATAATGTACCCTTAGTATATTTAAAATATACTTTTTATTGCATGCAACCCCAAAGTTCATAAGTTTGAAATTAATATATGGCATAGCTAGGTGGCCTAATATTTAAGATTGTTGATGTGCATATTGAGGACTACGGAGACAAAGATGCGTTATTCGTGGATTCATCGGATACTATCCAACAACACTCTCCAACTTAATTGACGTGAAGTAGGCTTAGTAACATTAAGATTATATTCTCGAATTATTAGTTCTCAACTTTTATTGATTACACACTTAATTCGATTGTATTTGGAAGAAAAAATCAATGTTCGAACTAAGATTGTGATTTTGGTCTTTAAAGGTCAATTGTATGTTGCTACATCTAGAGTTAGAAATCTCAAAGGTCTAAAAATTTTGATCCGTGGTGACTCTAAAATTGTAATTCAATTACTATTGTAGTTTACTAAGTTCTTAAAAATTTGTAATATTAAATACTATGTACTATATTTTTATATAGTTTAAGATTGTAGTAATCACCCACCTTAAATATTATTTTAATTGTAAATATATTTATGTTCATAATTTTATCATAGGAATTCACACATAATAATTATTAAATAACAAAAATTTTATATATAAATAAACCTCATATATGATATATTTTTATAACATATTTTTCGTGCATCGCACGGGACAAATACTAGTAATTATAATATACTCCGTATTTTAAATGATTTTCATCACCGGGGCTACTGTACCAGTGAGTGAGGAGGTGGTGCATGACAATGTGTCAAAAAACTTGCAGATGGCGGGTCTTGGTTCCCAGGCCCGCCCGACCCAATGAGTACACTAAGCTGGAACTGTCGTGGCTTGGGCAATCCACAGACAGTTCGTCAACTGGAGGACGTAGTGTCCCGGAAAAAGCCTGATTTTGTATTTTTGATGGAAACTAAGGTACGAAGGGATCATGCGGAACATGTTCGAATTAAGTTAGGGTTTGAGGGGTTGTTTTATGTTGAGCCGGGGGGTGAACGTGGATTAAGTGGTGGCATAGCACTATTATGGCGGAAAAATAGCACAGCAAGACTGATAACTTACTCAAAGAATTATGTTGATATGGAAATCAGTATGGTTGGGTTTCCACACTGGCGAATGACTTGTTACTATGGCTATCCAGAGAGAAATAGGCGCAGGGAGGCATGGAATCTCATTAAATCCTTAAAGTCACAGTCTAATCTACCATGGGTTATGATTGGAGACTTTAATGAGCTTCTATTCCAGTACGAGAAGAGGGGGGGTAATCCACATCCGAATTCTCTTCTGCGTGGGTTTGGAGAGGTCTTGGACTATTGTGGATTAGCTCAGTTGCCGATGAATGGATATCAGTTTACATGGGAGAAGGGTAAGGGCACGACAAGATGGATAGAGGAGAAACTGGATAAAGTGTTGGCTACGAATGTGTGGAGTGATGTAGTCCCAGGTGCAAATGTGACAAATCTATTGATGAGACAGTCGGATCATTCTGCCATCTTCCTAGGTATTCATGACCCGATGGGAAGAGGGGGGACATACAGACGATAGTTCAGGTTTGAGATGGCATGGTTGTATGATGAGGGGTGCAGGCATGTGGTGGAGGAGTCGTGGAATGAGAGAAGAGGGAATGGTTTACAAGATTGTATTGCACATTGTGGCAATCGTTTGGCTAAATGGGGAGGAGACCGGTATCATAAGTTTGGTGAGCGGATTAAAAATCTCCGGAGAGAACAATTGCGGCTCAGGGGACGAATGGATACAAACTCATTAACTGAATTCCAGCGCATGGAGGTGGAATTGAGTAATATGGAGGCCCAGGAAGATGCATATTGGAAACAACGAGCGAAACAGCATTGGCTCAGGAATGCGGATGCCAATACTAAATTCTATCACAGGTATGCCTCTCACCGAAAAAAGAAAAATTCAATATCTCGTATTATGAATAA